CCTAATTTCCATATAATATTTCCCCAGGATTCCTTCCCTTAATGAAACTAGGGGAGCTAGAGTGGACTATCCCCTCCCTCCCCACCTCCTCCCACTGAAAGCCCTGGTTAGCTTTCTGTGGGCAGTGGCTAGAGTCCTAACTCAGATGACAGAGAACACACATGCAGTGTAAGATTGCTTCCTGACAATGCCACTAGCCACTCATAGACACACCATCTCCCACCTCCCACTGATGCTGGCCCAATCCCCAGCCACTCAGCCTAGACAGGGCTGCCCTATAGGACTTGCCATGGCTGAGGACCAACTAGCCTTAATGACTATTTTGCTGTTTCCCTGAGAGCCTGGAAAATGGAGGGTAACAGAGGGTACCCAAACCTCTTCAGGTGAACAAAGGCTGAAAAAAGCAGTGAACCTCACTGCCAACAAAGAGCCTGCTAGCAGTTTTCCCTCTGTTCCCATCTATCTCACCCCCCAAGTGCTGTCCCAGTGCCACTATGGTGAGTTATATTTTCACCAACACTCACCTAATCAGCTGTCCAGACAATTCCTTAATCAGACAACACTGCCTTCTTGAGTTTAAATTTTATTTTACAAAAAGAGAAATAAAGAAAACTGATAGGCAGTTATACTGACTTACAATTGTTCTGTTTTTTTTTTTTTTCTTAAAAAAGTGACATGAAACACAAGTAAAAATAAATACGTCATAGAAACAGCCAGTTGCCCAGTCTCTGGGGCAGAAGCGCCTGTCCTGCTGAGAGAGGAGGGAAGCCCATGATCACACCAGCAGCTGGATCACCCAGCCACAGATGCTTCTCTAAGCCAGGCGCAGGTCCCAGGCCTCAGGGGCGTCCTGAGGAAAGAAGACGGAAAACCAAAGCCAGGTGCCAGGGCCATCTCCCCCATCCCACCCTACCCCTTACCCCTGGCAGCAGTGTGGCCTTAGTGGTTATCCATTGTGACCCCCTCAACCCACCTGGACCCTCTTCCCCTGATCCCTCTGAAGAGGGTACAAGGAAAAAAAACCTGTCTTGGGCAGGCCTGGGGGATTCTTCTGGTTAGTCCCCAGCCCACCCTGAGTAACACAACCAGATAACAGTCATTTTACACCCAGGTGCACATGAGCACACATGTGCACACACATTATCACACTCACTCACTCAAACACAGCTGGGCTAAGCTCTCTTCTAGGGAGGGTCCTGGGTCAGGTCACAGTATGAGGTCCCCTCTCATCTGAATATCATCCCAGTAGTAGCAGAGAACCCAAACCTCCCCTAGCCCTCTGCATTGCAGATTCTGCAGCCTGCCTGGCTACCTCTCCTCACTGCACTAGATGACTCCAACAAACAGACCTATGAGAGGGGAAAGGAACAGACTCAGGTCCCTGAAGAGTAAAGAAGGTGGACACTGCCTGCTCAGGAAGTTCATCGTTGTAAAGACTCAGGTATTCATAAAAGGCCTAAAGCCAAACTAGTGGCAGAGAACAGACATTGAGGGACCACAGCGGCAGAAGAGAAAAGGCAGAAAGAAGAACTGAGTCTAAATGGGAGCAACAGAGAGCACAGCATTCTCAGGCCTTGAGGTGCCGAATTCCTGGGACCAGTCAGCAAAGGGCCAGAAAGTCTTCTGGGGGTCCTTTGGAGAAAGGATAACTTCTCAAAAGAATTTTGGTGAAGAGCCACTTGGCTGAGTACACAGAAAGCCATGGCTCAAAGGGAGAGACTGGTCATCTGAAAAGTGGGAAGTAGGCAGTCATATCCAGGAACACTAGGAACAAGGAATGTAAAGTCCATAGAAGACCTTCCCCAAGGGATGAGGACGCAGTCCCAGAGCAAGGAATGCCAGGTTTAAACAAATTGATGTAGAAGGCCTTGCTCTGCCGACAGCTTGCTTGTGATACTTGGTTGTGTTTCAACCAATCAGCAAAACTTACCCCAGCTCTTTACTTTATGCTCCCAGAGTGGGGCATTTCATATGTAGTTATACTGAGAATTCCTGGGGAAGAGAGTTCCAAGGACCAGAATTATCCTTAAATCAGGAGAAAATATAGAGGCCTAAGCAGCACAACTCAAAAGGGAAGGACTCACAGATTAGATATCCAGTCTAAAGAAAAACATCTGACCCAACATGGTTCGCTTTCTTTCTTAAATAGCTACTCTATCTCTGCTAGCAGTCTTTATCCACAAAGATATTAAGAAAGGATATCAAGCATCAGTACAAATGGCAATCTTGAATCATTTAGTACTATGTTCCTCAGGAAAAGTAGTTAGGCTACGCAGGATGAATGAGACTTGAGAGACCCTTGAAAACATTTCATGAAAGACAATGGTGAGGAAAAATGCCTAAGCCTGATCTTCTACCTTCCCTCTGGACCACCAGCCTTCCCTGACTTGGGCCTAGATGGTAGGTAGAAGCCACCACTAAATGTTTCAGATCAAAGAAACTGTAAAACATGGTACTTAGCTCTAAGACATTTCCTGCTTCCCTTACACACATGCTCATGTTTGGTGTGCATGCACATTTGCCCACCAGCACATATAAAGAGAAGAAAAATCAGAGATATTTTTTTCAGGTTCATTAAAAACAACAAGAAGCAACAAAACCCATGAAACTAGTTGCAATTCAGTTTCTCATGATCTCACCATCACCCCCTACATAATAGAAGCATATATTATCAGATTAAAAGTCTTCTCTAGCCAGGACAGCTTCCCAGAATTATGGCCTTTGCAGGGCTGAAGCAAGACCTGGACCCTGGAACGACTACTGGGTAGGGAACAGACAGGTGTGTGCTGCCTCTCAGACACCCATCTGCATCCTGGCAACTTCAAATGCCTATTCCTCTAGTGAATCGATCAAGTTTCCTGCTGAAATGGTTTCTAGATTTTCAAGAGAATGCTGCAGTGACTTCCTGTAAGTGAACACAGAAATATTCCTCTATCCCTTTACACACACACACACACACACACACACACTCACACGTCTCTAGGATCCAATGCTCCAGGGCTGACAGACATTAGTGTAACTCAAGTTCTGAGTGTGTTCTGACTAGCTTACTCTTACTGCACCAGCCTCAACCTGAGAGCCTACTCCAAGTGAATCCCTTCACCATCCATTCTTGGGACGCATCTGAGAGAGAAAGCACTGGTTGGAACTGCTATTTTAAAATTATTAAAATAATTTGCATAGCTAAATTGTAGATCTAAGGCTTCTATGAATAGAAGAATTAAGTGTCTGACAGGCTGTTATGAAACAGAAAGCGCCTTAAGTTCCACTTTTGGTGTTATTGTATAATGAACAAACATGCGCGCGCGCGCACACACACACACACACACACACCCCCACCATCAGTCATCTCCCCATCTCTCCCCTGGAAACAAATCCCAAAGTTTGCTAGGCCCTCCAACAATGGAATGGGCTTGTCAGTAGAGATGCAGGTTAAGCAACCTCCTGGGCTGGAAGAGGCAAATGCAGCAGCTACCCAGCCAATGGGGAGCAACAGACAGGTGGTAAAGTTCTAAAGCCAGACAAGTTTATTCATCATAAAGACTGCCTGGCAAAGTCTTGATGGGAGGAAGGAGATGGAGACAACAGGACACAGGATATAACAATAGAAGACAGCCAGTGTTTAAGGACTAGAAGCTCCTTCCCTGCACTGGCAACAAGGAAGGAGAGGCCAGAATGACTAATGTATTCAGGTTCTCTAAAGCAAAAGCCAGACTTAAGGCTCCTACAGAGGAAGGATTCCTCCATGCTCCTTCAAAGAAAATGGAGGCAGCAGACACCAGGCCTGCAATGATCACCTGATAAGCTGGGGAAGCTGAAACACTTCCTAACAGGAAATCAATGGTCCATTCCCTCAACCCAGCAGCTGCCTATCCATAGTTTCACTATCCAGCATAGAGCTGACCTCTATCATTCCAGCAGGACACAGCTCCAAACTGGGGGGGTCACTTACTTCTCAATAGCAAACTCCATGATCCCAAGTTTCAATCTCTATAGAATGAGTCTCACCACCACTAACTATCCAGTCTCAGAATTCCCTGATCTTCCTGAGAGGTCACATCTCTCCAAAACATAGTTGTTTAATCTAACCCTGGGTCAAACCTAACTCTCTTTCCCTGTTAAATTCACCACCCACTCAGGATTTTTTTTCACCAGCAGCTATGGGGTCTAGTACATCTCAAAACGTCCCTATCTCCTACCTTCCTTAACCTTAACTTCCCTGCCACCAAAAAAAAAAAAAAAAAGACACATGAAAAGTCTAAATAATAAATAATTGCCCATAACCATAAGAAATAAATTAACATGGAACTTTCTAACAGGGAGGGAAAGGCCACCAGGATAGGCAGCTGAGGCATAGTTCCACCCTGGTAAAGAATGTCTTTTCCAGCCACACTCTATGACCTCTCACTCACATTGCAGTGCTTTTCCCTCTCACCCTGGAAAGGGAGATCTGCTTAAAGACAACCACTGAGGAAAGAGACAGAGGTCGGCAATGCCCATTTTCTCTCATGATTCCCCCAGCCCCCAATTTCTAAAATAGATGTGGCTCTGAAAACCAGGGACTTGAGTTACCTGGGCCTTCTTTTCACCCAACTAGAAGGAAACTTGTGATTTCCATGGCTCTTCTCCTGGGCTCACCCTGATGTTCAACTAATAGTGCCATGAACCACCACTCTCTGATTTCCATTTAAAAAAAGATAAATTCATTTTTTAGTTTCCCCCCTTAGTTCCTCCCTCCCTCCCGCCCCTCCCATCTTCACCCCTGCTCTGTTACATACATGTACATACATACCCAAACATATACACATGTGCGAGCGCATGTGTATATGCGACACACACGCACACACACATGTGTATACACACACACACACACACACACACCTGGTCTGCTTACTTCCCACCCCTTAAAGAGACCCCATTCCACATGGGATCTCAGTCTGCTCCCCCTGCCCACCCTTCTTCTCTCACTCACCATCCCTTCCCTCCCCTCCCCTCCCCAGGCCAAGCTAAGTCACCCGGTAAGGCAGCTCTCTTGGGAGAGACTGTTCCCAAAGACAGAAATGGGATGTGAACATCTACACTCAGATGGGCAAGCAAGCAAGCAGACAGCATAAGCAAGGCAGGAAGGAAGGGAGACAGGCTGCCCTGCCCTACCGTCCCTGTTTTGGGTCCCTGATTTCCCACTATTGCTGCTCCGTTGGGGTTTTTGTTTTTTGTATTTGTTTTTCCTCTTTTTAAAAATAGCAACAGAGCCCTGCCCCTATAGCTAACCACTCTTCTTTGTCTTCATCCTTTACCCTCCTGCCAAGAACCCTATTCTCAAAAAGCCCAGATCACTGCCTTTCAGCTTTGTGAGCAACCTGCTGGGGACCCCAAGTGAGGTGGGGAAAGCCTCCCCAGCTATTTCCCAGTGACCTCTATTACATCATCGTCCTTATCCTCATCATCATTGGAACTGAACCCCACCTCAGCAATCTCATGTGAGTCAAATGGAGGCACCTGGGACCGGAGGAGGCCACCAGCTGGGTAGCCTGCATGTGGGGACATGTAGCCAGGGTAGACAGACATGCCCCGTGAAAGGTTACTGGGTAAGACAGGGGAGGGAAAAGGCGCAAACATCCTCGGCTCGGACAGGAGTGGCTGTGAAAATGGGAGTGAATAGCTGGGTAGTATCCCTGGCACAGAAGGGTTGAGCATGAAGGAGGGGTTGCTGGCAGTGACTGAGGTAGCCGTGGAAGAGGAACTGACGGGGCCTGCTGGCACCAGAGGGTCAGTAGTCACTGGAAATACCAGGCGGGCATCTGCCAGCAAATTGGACAGCTGGTAGTAGGAGGGGGTACTGCCCATAAACAGGGAGTTGTCCCCAGCCTGGGAGGTGAAGGGGGCGGTGAGGTTATGATTTAAGGAGACGGGTGGCATGGCAAACCCGCCGGAGACTGGATACCCGTGTTCATACGGCTGCACGGGGGCTGGCAGATGGCCCTTCCTGGACCGCCGGCGGGCTGACTCCTGGGCGGCAGGTGGAGTGGCCAACTTTCGCTTGTGGCCCCTTAAGTCTAGCACTGGGTGCCTGCCACCACAAGGCTGGCCAGTCACCAAAAGGGAACTATTGAGGCAATGACTCCCAAGCCGTGACTCAGTTCCAAGAGCTGTCCCAGGAACAGCACTGCTGTCCACGAGTTGGGCCGGGGGGCCAGGCAGGGAGGCATTGGTGCTTGGGGAGCTCTGACGGGATTCTCGAGCAGCAGCCACATCTGCATACTGCTGGAGCTCACTGATGATCTCCGGACTGTCAGGAGAGACGGGCCTGGCCAGCCCCTCAGGGTCAGGGGCTTTGGGTGATGAGGCACTGTGTCTGCCGTTGCTTGTGGACTCACAAGAAGGTCCCTGGGAACCTAGGAACAAAATACAGATAACTTAGCACCAGAATAGCAATAAAGAGAAGAAAAAACAAAGGGGGAAAGCTATTTTTAAAACACCCTATCTTGTGGCCCCCCAAATTCTAATTATTTGATGTCTAAATAACATCACTCAGTTAACCCTTCCCAGATTTGATCCCAGATATAAGTCTAGCCATGAAAAGGCATGTTACTTTTCTGCACCCAGATTTCCCAATCTGTAAAACTCTACCAATATGAATCCTATGAGATAATGGCTATGAAACATCAGATCATTCTTAAAACTAATCAGACCTTTTTCTAGGGGCAAGAGACAGTGACCAGGGGAGAAAAGAGGTAAATGAAGCTAAAAAGCAGTCCATCCTAGTATAAAAAAACAAAACAAAATCCATAGCTATGGAAGAATTGGCACAACTAGGAAATCTGAATATGACCTGGATATATTATGACCTGGTAACATTATAAAATTATTGTTAGCTGTTCTTTTAGTGTGATAATAGTGTTGTGGCTAGGAAAATGTCTTAAATCTTAAAATATATGTTGAAGTATATCTTACAAAATGATATGAAGTCTTCAACTTACAAATGACTCAAATAATAGAAAGGAAGAGAGAGAGGTTTACAAAAACTAACAATTATTGGATCTAGGTGTAGGGTGTATGGGCACTCACACTGCTGTTCTCTCAACCTTTCTGTCTGTATGAAAATTTTCATAACACAAGTTAAGAAGAACAAAAGCATTGTAGCTCTTGTATCTCGGTGGTGGGGAGGATAAATAAAAATCACTCCCATTGAGGAAAACCTGTCAAGAGTTCCTAACACTGTTAATGTGCCACACATATACCCTCTGGCCTGACAACCCCACTTCTAAGAATATGTCCTATGGATACATCCACATGTCACAGTGGTGCAGCAGAATAATCTGAATGTATATCAATAAGGAGCTAGTTAGTGCACTGTGTTATATCCTATCCTGTGTAAACCTTCAATGAGGCATATCGAGAAGAAATGATAAGGAATGAGTTATTACTGGTGAGTGAAAACAGGAATAAATAGTGTATTATAGTATATTAGCATTGTTTGTTTTAAAAATTTACAAAGAAAAGCCAGGCATGACAGCACATGCCTGTAATCCCAGAAACTTGGGGGCTGAGGCAGAAGGATCACAAGTTCAAAACCAGTCTCAGAAATTTAGCAAGGCCCTCAGCAATTGAAGTGAGGCCCTGAGCAACTCAGCAAGACCCTGTCTCTAAAAGGGCTGGGTATGTGGATCAGTGGTTAAGCGTCCCTGGGTTCAATCCCCAGTACCAAAGAGAGAGAGGGAGGAAGGGAGGGAGGGAGGAAGGGAGGGAGGGAGATAGAGAGAGAATTTATTTATATGTTATTTACATATTTTATACACACAATTATATGTCCACACTCACACAACCCTGTATCATAGATAGAATATCTCTGAAAAACAAACAAGTGCTTCTAAGCTTCAGGCTAGCTGGAGAAATAGAAAGAAAAACTTATTTTTCACTTAACTCCTTTTTGTACATTTTGAATTAGGAACTATGCATACATTATCTATTAAAAGAAAATAAGCTAATTACAAACCAAGTCAAACCAATGTGCAGGTTGATGGGAAGTAAAAGTTACCATACCTGAGGCAGCCATCCGACCATCTTCAGGGGCCTTTGGTTTGCCAGTTGCCCGGACAGCAAAGATCCGTCCATCACTGGTGCGGATGTACGTCCCTAAGAAGCAGCATGAAGATGACTTTTAGAAACAGATATGTACTGTTTCCAACAGGCACCATGGGCTGGGAAACAGCTATAAAATTAAGTCTCATTCCCTCTCTCAAGATCCATGAAATGACGAGTCAGATAATAGTTATGGACTCATAATTATTTATCTATTCCAGAAGCATTGATAGTTAGACTACCAAGTATTAGGCACATAGTAATATACTATGACTAAACAAGATAGAAAAGGCCCTGTCTCAAGGAGCTTAATCTCTAGAAGAGAAGACAGATAATTATACCAGAAAGTATAAGAAGAAGTCAATGCAATGGAGGAAATAAAGTGCTATGAAAGAGAACAATTTGTCGCCTTATACTCTCCCCAATACTCTGGCTCAGGTCCTCCTCTTAATCTGACAGGAAGGACCCATATTACTTCATTATCCTCTCTCCTTTGTTAAAAGAATTCAAGACCCACACCTTCTACTCCCTCAAGGCACTAATCTACCTTCTCTTCATTCTTGAGTATGTCATTAGATCAATATTCTGGAGTGTCAGGCCCACCTGTAGGTTTCTAGAATATCAGAACTACCTGTAGGCCAGGAGTTGGCAAACATTTTCTTAAAGATCCAGAGAGTAAATATTTATTGTATTATAAGCTATAAGATCTCTGTTGGCAGCTTCTTAATTCTTCTGTAACATGAAAATGGCTAGGCATGGTTGCATTTCAATCAATATTCACAGACACTAAAATGTGAATTTGGGGGGAGGGGGTATTGGGGATTGAACCCAGGGACATTTAACCACTGAGCCACATCCCTAGCCTGTTTATAGTTTATTTTGAGACAGGGTCTTGCTAAGTTGCTTAAGGCCTCAGTAAGTTGCTGAGGCTGGCAGTGAATTCACAATCCTCCTGTCTCAGCCTCCCAAGCTGCTGGGATTACAAGCATGCACTTCCATGCACAGCTTAAAAGTGAATTTCTTATAATTTTCACATCACAAAATGTTACTCCTTTTTTTTTTTTTTTTACCCAAATGAAAATGCAAAACCCATTCTTAGCATCCAGGTACAGTAACAGGGAGCACACTGGACTTGCCCATGGGTTGTAGTTTGCTGACCTCTGCTCTAAGTTAGAAAGAGCCCCGTTATGCGGTGGGAAGAACCCAGTAAGAGAGCTTGAGTTGTCTTTGTGCATCTGGGTACTTCAGGGAAACTTTTTCCTAAGCCTAAAGGTACTCTTAACTCTAGGGTAAAATCTCTTTACAGCACACAAAAAAACAAACCCCAAAACAGCCTCATATATTGATGGGTTTAGTTAAAGGCTAATATGAAAAACAGGCTTCGATTGTTTCTTGACACTGTTTAGGCCAGCTTTTTCATTCTAGCAATCTCTCTTCACTCTGTAAGGAACCCAGAAATATGTATGGACTTTTTATATTACCACACTCAAAAAATTTTATCACATGCCAGGTACAGTGGCACACATGTGTGTTCCCAGCAACTCAGGAAGCTGAGGGAGGAGAATCTTAAGTTTAAAGCCAGGCTTAAGCAACTTAAAAAGAATTGAGAATATACAGATGTAGCTCAGTGGTAAAGCACCTCTGGGTTCAAAAAAATAAAAAAAAAATCATGCAACTCATGTGTACTAATTCATTCACACAATCATTACATTTCCCAGCCTGAGAGTCTCACTCTGTTCTCCAAGGAAAAAGGTACAAATGACACATTAACACATATGTTGGCTTATAATCCATTTCATAGTGCTTTCCTGTCAGTTTTGGTCTCTGGGTATCTACCCATCCCCCTCCGAAGATTCTCCATAAAAACAGTGGCAAAATACAGAAACACAGGGATGGACCTTGATTCCCTTTTTTAAAGTGTAAGTGACCTTACCAATATTCATTGGGCTCAACCCAACTCTGCCAAGCTCCTAGAAATGCCATTTTCTTATATCCCCCAATTGTGACAATTTTGTGAGATGATTCCTATGCTCATTAGCTCAAGTCATTTGTATTTATTCTGTTTCCCAGCATAGTACTCTCAAACAAAGGCAAGGGATAGGTTCTTTGGTCAGGCTCTCACCTTTTGTCCCACGGATGATGTGGATGCTCTCACCAGCATTAATTCTAGCCTGAACATCTGTAGAGCTGTTGAGTCCAGGAATAACAATATCTAGTGAAAAATAGACCTCAAATTTAGATTGCATAGGGCCTGACTGAAGAAGGGAAAGAAAATGCAAAGACCCATATCTGTCCCAGTTCCTCAATGGTTTCCTACAAGCTTCTCTGTGGAGCAGAAGTTTAGAATCAAGAAAGGTGAAATAGGCAGAATCTTTTACAATTGTCTCAACAAAGAATACTAAGAAACCAAGAAATCTGCTCATCTTTCCAATTTTCCTTGCTTTAATTAAAAATTATAGTTTTAATTTAGAAAAAAAAATTTTAATTCAAATGGCATTTTATCAGTTCCACATCACTTCAGGCTCCAAAAGTGGCCTCATCCTCTTCCATGTTGGCATTACTCCACACACAGTAAAGAGTATTTTCAAGAATCAGCAGAGAAATGGGATTGCAAAGAGCTCTTTTTTTTTAATTGTTGTTTACTAATTTCACTTTTTTTTTTTTACAATGGACATGTATTCTTTTTATTCTCATATAAATCAGTTAAGATGTTTTCATTTAAATTTATATGTCATGAATATTCTAAATAGCAAGATGGAAAATAGGATCATGAAATGCTTCCTTCCCAATCACTTTGAATCACAGAATTAACTAAAGGGTAACTAGGCTGCCCACCTTGCACTATTGCTCACTGACCCAAAATGCTCCAGCTACATCAAACTCACAATGAAAGAAGCAAGTGACAATTCAGGTTTCTAATTACATAGGGAAGTTGATAGCTGTCTTTTATACCTAACTGATCTTATGTCACCTAGCAGGACTCAGCACATTCACATCTCTGTGACAGCTTATGAGACCTACCCTGTGATCTAATGACACTTCTATAATCGCTGTGTGCTCAAAGGATTCCATCCACCATACTCAAGAAAACCCAGTTCTGTGTTTTTCTTAAGATATTTCACCAGATTGCAAATTCTTCTCTGCTATCTTCTCTATTCTTACCTACAGTGCCAAATGTAGTAAGGTCTAGAATACAAAAGGTATTTGACAAATATTTCCTAGTGAACAAAGTCATTTTAAAAGGGATGATACCCCTGAATAGAATGGAAGAGTTCTCTGACCTGTTGTGGTGACCACCTTCTGCACGAGGACTCCCGCCCTCTGCAAGTAGTTAATCGGGAAGTTCATGGATGGATTTGTGCTGGAAGCAGAGCTTACAGTGCCTCCCAGTGGGACATGCCGTGGCATCATAGGGATGGGGGTGGACTGTACAGGACGAACACTGGCCACAGGCTTTTCATCACCCTTCAGTGTTGGCTGCCTATAAGAGAAAGACAAACAGAGAGTTGAGAAGAACAGCTCTTGCCTCCCTCCAAAGGCTGTGGGGCCTCTCCAGACTGCCCTATTCTACATTCTCAGTTGGTGCTAAGAGAAGAATCAGAAGAACCTACAGGGTCTGGTCAATTTAAAAGGAGACCAAAGTCAGACATGGGGGCACATGCCTGTAATTCTAGCTACCTGGGAGGCTCAGGCAGGAGGCCCACAAGTTCAAAGCCAGCCTGGGCAGCTTAGTGAGATTTTGACTCTAAATAAATAAATAAATAGGGCTGAGGGTATAGCTCAGTGGTAGAGGGCCCCCAAGTTCAATTTCCAGTACTGCAAGAAAAGGGGAAAAAAAGATAAGAGGCAGATCTTAGAAAGAGTGGCAGAGAAAGATGCAGAGGGATAACACCTCTCCAAGAGAAGCAGAGTTAGATGTCAATGGAATACCACCTTTCTGGAGATAAGAGGAGCCATGTGCTTCTCTAGAATTTGGATTATCTAGATCAAGAGTTAATCCCTTGAAAGGAAGTTAGAATGATACCAATATGCACAGAGGGAGGAAGAGTTCTTCAGACCACAGGGTATATTACATTAAAGACAAAGGGGGTAAAGTTTTCCTCATTTACCCTTGTGGTAGAATATGTTTAGGTGATCTTGAGAGACTGTCCCAACCTTAAGCCATTTTTACTCTCTGAAACCTCAAGTCTTGATAAGTAATACAAATACCCTTCTCTATACTACTTGTCACCAAGCTCCTACTGATTCCTGAGCCAGTCTTTAAATTGCCCCTGTAGTCAGGACCACCACACAAAAGCAGCAACAGCAGCATTACTGTGCACAAAAGCCAAACTTCTAAATGACCCAGTGCCACAGCCAATATGAGAACTGGCTTAACACCAAAATGTTAATCCGTAGTCAATAGCTCATTCTTCACTATCAGTTTCCTTTCAAATGGATGTTGGTACTCTGAGAAAGTTATTCCTGATTCAAGATTTTTTTTAAAAGTTCCTATCTCTAATGTCTTCAGTCTTTGGGCCTGGGGTAGAAATTCCCTTGGACAGGTATGTTCTTCCTCAACTGACTGAAGACTGGCTCATGAGAACACTTTTATACCACTCTGCTTTTAGAATTGATCTGCATGATTCCTCAATCACACCACTCTCAGATTGCTACAGGCCCACTGGGGAAGCTCCTTGGTCAGTGTGGAGACCAAAGTTCCCAGATAGGCTTGGCAGGAGTTAGAGACCCTGGTTAGATGTCAACAGGATTCCTCCTAGGATCAAAAGTCAGATAGATGATAGGATGCCAACCTAAATTTCATATTCTTGCTAAGGCTAGGAATTTGGGCAGGAAGGCCTCTTCAGGTATCCAGATGGGATAAGGAATCAGCAGAATCATGGTATGCCCCCATCAAATGCAATGAGAAGCTAGAATCTCCACAGGGCCGAGGTAGGCTGGAAACAGAGCTAACTCCTCACAGCCCAGCCTGGACCATTTGTCACATTTTCTCCCCAAAATGCTTTTCTCCCTTTGGGCTCAGACTTAATCTACTCCTTGTGTTACAAAGAAGAGTCCAGAAAAAAACAGAGGTGAAGGACAAAAGCAGAAAACCTTCCCAGACAATAGTATTTTTGAAAATGACACAAAAATAAGAAGCCTGAGGCTTTAAGAGTGACTTTCTACTTAAAAGTACATTCAATGAGTAGCAGCCAGCTTATCATGCAAAAGGATATACGTTCTATTTCCAGTACCAGCAAAAAAAAAAAAAAAAAGCAAATTTATGCACACAAAGAAAAAAATCAGTATCTTGTACATAAAATCTTAGAAATTTAATATTTTCAAGTCCTCATTGGCAAGATTATTTTTTACATGTGACTCTTATAAATTGATTCCCCTCAAATAAAATAATTTGCTTTCATTCAAAAAAAAAAAAAACTAGGCAATTAGAAGATAGGAAAGGCAGCAGAATACAACAGACACTAGTATGGCAATATGTAAATCAATGGATGTGTAACTGATGTGATTCTGCAATCTGTATACGGGGTAAAAATGGGAGTTCATAACCCACTTGAATCAAAGTGTGAAATATGATATATCAAGAACTATGTAATGTTTTGAACAATCAACAATAAAAATTAAAAAAAAAAAGATTAATCCTAACCAAAAAAAAAATTAGGCAATTAAAAAATGCAAACCACTCAATCAATGACTAGACAGTTGATCTGGTTATTACAAAGGAAGGTGAGGGCTGAAAGGCACTTTGTCTTTAAATACAGAAAAAATTGACACATAGATACTTGTTCTGTAATATCTAACAAAAAGTCTCCCTCCCTCCTTAGTAGTTGGCCTCCACACAGTTCACATTCTCAACTATTCAATAAATTTTCTTGCTCAAGATCATCGCACACTTACAGAATTAAATCCCATTAGGAACAAAAGTATTCCCAGACTATAATCTGGGACCAGAAAGAACATGGCCATCAGCTTGAACTTCATTGCTATGTGAATTCTAGAGCCAAGGTGCTGGGATAGGATGAAACTGAGGAAGGGCTGAACTTTTGTGTTTTGGGAAGCTGTATTCCCTTCTGCCCCACTCAGTTCCCCCAGGAGTCCTTAAAAGCTCTTCTGAGTGAGAAAACCAGCAGCTCACTTTTCCAGCCAGGGCAGTGAAAACCAGAGTCACTTAAAACACCATGGTTGCTAAACTACTTTGACACCTGACCCTAGAACAAAACCTACCAGAGTTCATGACAGCCAAAGCAGCAGATTGTAGGCTCTCCCTTTGGTTAAAAAAAGAAATTGAAAAAAATTTGGGCCTGGCCTAGCAGCAGACCCTCCCTCCCCTTTCAATAACTCACCAGTTCCTCTGACTGAAGGCAGGGATGCTGGTCAGGCTCTGGTCACTGGCAGGGTAATATTGTGCATATGATGGGCGGGTGTAGGGAACTGACGTGCGTTTGTCTTCCTCATAACTTTTCTTTGCTGCTTTTTTCTCAGCCTTGGTCAGTTTGTGATCCTTTCGGTTGAGGAGCAATGACTCATGCTCGAAAGGCTCCTAGGGACACAGGGGGATGTTGATTTAATTACCAGTCTTTGTGCCAGCATGACTGACTGCCCTGCCAACATACTGATGGACAATGAACGTTACTTTGAAACCAAGAAGGGGCTGGCTCTCTCCAGCACTCGTAAAGAGCCTGCTCATAGGCACACATAAGCAGGTTTACTGTCTTTCTGTCATAATTCTAACCTAGTACCCACTTCAGACACCTAAGCCTGTCTTCTCTATTAGAAAATTAAGAAACTACATTTTCAGAACTTCCCCCCTCTCTTTCTGCTATATAAACTCACAATGGCCAAATTATTCCACATGTCTGAGCTCAGTACTCCTAGAATCTGACAAAGGGTAGAAGCAGGTGGTTGGAGTAGAAAAGGGACTATCTGGGTCAAGGAAAAGAATCAATTGCATCCCAGATGTCTGAATGAAATACAACTTCAAATGAAGAAAGCAAGCTTGTCAGACAAGCCTCCTCTGACAGAGTCTGCCATGCTTGGGGACTTCATAAATACTGGGTTCTTACCTTGGTGATGAGGTGAGGGTACTTCAAACAAGCAAGCTGTAGAACTGACTCCTTGATACCTTTTACATTCAAGGATGCTTGGGGAGCTGGCTCCTTCTCAACAAAGTGCAGTAGGTTTTCCACCTCTTTCCGGGTAAAGTTCAGCATTGGATTTAGATCATCTACCACCCGATCTAGAAGAGAGAAGAAATAAAGAAAGATAGCACATGGCAAAGAAGATTAAAAACACAATTACAAAGGTTAGCAGGGAGAAAGGAGGTTTTATGTGGCAGAACTGTCACTACTGATGAAAAGTCATCCCATACCTGAAAGTCAAAGGTCAAGACCAGGAATGATAGTGAATGCCTATAATCCTCATCACTTAGGAGGCTGAGGCAAGAGAAGGCTGGGCAACTTAGAGAGACCCTAAGAGAGACCCTACAAAGGGCTGGAGGTATAGTTCAGTATTGGTTAAATTTCTGATACGGAAAAAAAAAAAAAGTCTAAAACCAGGTCTAAGGCCCTGGTGAAATGAAAACATCAGAAGAAAAAATTGCATAATTAGCTTGGCTCTTGTCATTAAATCCATCTTCAACAATGTGAGGTCAATCCCTTTTAATGGTTGGAATGAGAATAAGAAGGGAGGAACTGCTGGTTTTCTAAGATTCCTCACCTGCCTATGATCCCATACCCTGCTCTTCCCCTCCCACCTTTGATACTATAAGGAAGGCAGCTTGTATAGATGTACCTCTGGAATGCCTCCAAGATAGCCCACCTGACATGCCCTGCTTAGAAATCTGACGATCATAGATCTTCTTTTCAAGCGTATAATCAGCCACCAAACGATAGATGTGACAGGGCTTTTTCTGGCCATAACGGTATACCCGACAAACTGCTTGGGCATCATGGCAAGGGTTCCAGGAAGCATCAAACACCACCACTCGATTGGCGCCAATTAGATTCACACCCAAGCATCCGGCCCTTTAAAACATAAGGTAACAGTCATTGAGTCTTTAGTCTTAAAGAAGGTTTTTTATCAGCTTTGCCCTCCCCCAACATCACTCTTCATTTTAAGCACAATATACTCAAGAATTTTGCTGTCCTGCTGAAAAATAGTTATGTTCCTCAAGCACTGAAAAGTATACTCTTAAATCCAACATGGCAGTGCCTACAACTCTCTATTCCTCTGTAACAAGTAAGGCCCCACATCCTGGTTCCAGAATGATATCCTTGGTCAGGGGATATTTCTACACACAGATGTTTCCAGTGTTTTTACTCTAATCACTGAGGGGAGTGACAGGCTCATACCCTGCTATGGAACATTCCGGTGGCAGAAGGCAGCACAGCTTTTGAGGTACTTGGCATGAGACAAAGGATGCATCAGCCTTTTATGATTACTTTGACTATTCACTTTTTCAGGCACTTTCAATTTGTCACATTGTCTATGCCTCAGAACAATTCTCAGAGAAAAGCTAATTATAAATGTTAATAAAAGTCTCAAAGAACTTTATATCACTACCACAACTGCTCTTCTACCACAACTTCTTTTTGGGATCCCCTCTCTGATCTCAAAACAAGTTACAAGGCCAAGTACAGTGGCATACACTTATAATCCCAGTGGCTCAGGAGGCTGAGACAGGAGGATTACTAGTCAAAGCCAGCCTCAGCAACAGGAGGCACTAAGCAACTCAGTGAGACCCTGTCTCTAAATAAAACACAAAATAGGGCTGGGGATGTGGCTCAGTAGACGAGTGCCCCTGAGTTTAATTCCTGGTACTAAATAACAACAACAAAAAGAACAAGTTACAAACCTGAGTAGACTTCAAACCTGAGAGCCTTTGGGGTATATGCCTATGTGGCCAATTGTTTGAACACACGCCTTTGACCTCCCCTCACAGGTTTCACTCACCTTGTGGAAAGAAGGAACAGCCAGGTGGTGAGGTTGCTGGGATCATTGAACTGATTAATGAGTCGCTCCCTCTCAAAGGCAGGGGTGCTACCATCTAGCCCTAGGAAGGAAGGAAAAACCACAAGAAGTATACAGATGAGAGCAGGGATATTCAGCAAAAATCACTAGGAAATGTGTTTTATGAACAGAAACACTACAGTGCTCAGATCCCACCCCTAGACATATCATGGGGCTACAGTGAGTCCAGGCTTCCACAATGTAAAAGTACCCTCAGGTGATTCTCACATACGACAAGGATCATAAACTACTTTTCTGCCCTTTTATCTTAGGGTGAATTCTAAGACCAAGGCTCTTAGATTTAAGAGTGCATGTACTCACCTAAGAAGCTTAAAAAACAAAGGTTCAAGGTGATCTCTCTACCTCAGCCCAGGGAGTCCTGGGGTGAGTTCAGGGAGACTAAGGATTCTGTGTTTTGGTATGGGTAACATTCCTCCACCAGATATTTGCATTTTTAACAAGCTTCTTAGGCTAAGAACTTGCTTTAAAAAGACATAAGAGCAATAAAGTTGGAGCAGTTGAATGTAACACATGAATGAAAAGAGGAGCTCAAAAGGGAGAGGGAAAAAATATATCATACTATTATGGAAGCAATAGTATAACTGCTCAGTATTGTGGTCCTCAGTGAGGACCCCAGCCTATCTCTCCAACCTGCATTCTCACAATTTCAAAGCACAGATCACCACTGACTCATTGGGCAAGTCTACAGTGAACACAAGTTCTGTGCCACACCCTGTACTTCGGTCTCCTTGCCACCCTCTAAACCTCCATTCCTCTGAATCTTTCCCTTAGGCCAGTGGTTCTTACAGAGCATGGTTTCTCTACTCTTGCACTTTCCAGGGGATATTTGGCAATATGTGGAGACATTTTTGATTGTCAAAATTGTCTCTAGTGAATAGAGACCAGAGATGCTGCTAAATATCTAACAATACACAGGACAGCTCCCTATAACCACAGTCTGGCCCAAATGTCAACAGAGCTGTGGTCAACTATTTCTCAACTTTTTTTCCATTACCATTCCCCTAAGGACCGTTTTTAGACATTTTCCCCCATCACATCATGTCTTCCATGAAATTTTAATACACAGATACACTATACATCTGTTTATGCATTATATATAGAGAGAGATATATATGTGACTTATACATTGAAAAAAGTTAAGAATTTTCACACGCACACACACACAAATTTTCACCCTTTTAGAGGTATTATTTTCCCCACAGAGAAAGCAGGACTGACGTATGCTCACTCTGCTCTTCTGCCTTGGAATAATTTTCAGGCCACTCTCACTCTATATATTCGAATTCTCCCCATCTTTTCTGAAACACTTCTCCAGCCAGTCTCACTACACTTATCTATCCTTCTTAGAATCCCAGAATGGGCAATCAGTGCTACATTTGCATTGGAGCTATTACATCTCAAATGAAGACAAGGGCAATGCCTTCTACTTCTCTACATGCCTCCTATTTTTCCCAAATCCCCCCAGTCCCTAATATATTGATTCATTCATAAAAGTTGGCTCTTAGGGTCTTCCTGCTCCTAGGCTAATCACAGATCATTTTTATGCACTGATGGCGAGCAAAGCATGAGAACAGGAAAGGAGAGAGAAGGAAATCAGATCTTTCCAAGGCTCCAGGAACGAAGCAGCAATAAACTCACGGAAGTAGCTGACATTTCGAACCCACTTCTGTGCTCCCTGCCCTTCAGCACCAGGCAGACAGGGCACTTCTCGTTTTCCCAGGAACTCTTCAATGAGAGCCAAGGTGGAAAGGCTCTGGCTGAAAGGGAAAATATGGTTCAGATGGCTCGCAGATCCCAGGAATCTTGTTCCCAATAGGCCTATATTCATGTATAACCTTCTGACAATGGAAGCTCCCACAACCTATTACCCATAAGCAGCAACCCCACCAAGAACAAGCAAAGATATTCTGCCTAGCTCATAATGGAAGCAGAGTCATCTACACTCTTATTACCATCACTTCACTGAAAAAAATAAGTCTCTCCATCCTTATTTCCTCCACTAAGAAATTTGGGGGTTTAGCTCAACACTCAAATAGCATTAGTACTACAAACCAATACCAAGTGAATATACATTAAATCTAATCATGAGCCACAGGCAATCTTACGGATCTTGATAGGGAAAGAAAATGACTTGGCTTCTTCTAAAACAATGCAGATGGCCAGTCTTCCCTAAAGTAATCCTTAAAATCAGAGGTCACTACGTTCTCCCAAGTTAGAATCATTGCTGCCCTCTCAAAGAATGTCACATGTATGCATGTATGAATATATCACAATGAATCCTACTTTTATTCAGAAGTACAATGTATCAATTTTTAATATAAGTAAATAGAAGGGAGATCAGTATAGCAAGGAAGGGGACTAGGAGAAGGGAGGAGGCAAGAGAAAGGGGAATTACCATAGAATGAAATGGAGCAAATTATGTTTCGTACACATATGATTATGTCAAAATGAAATAATAAAAACGGGCTGAGGCTGTAGTTCAGTGGCAGAGGGCTTGCCTAGCACATGTGAGAGACTGGGTTCAATACTTAGTACTGCATAAAAATTAACAAATAAAGCCATTCGGTCCACCTACAACTACAAAAAATTTTTTTTAAATAATAACAATAAAAACATAATTTAAATGTGTCCCATGTAGAGGCTCCCAAGGTAGGCTCCTGCCACTTGGCTTTTCTCGGGGCATAATCTGGTCAGAAGAAAAAAGGAAAAGCAATCTACTACATGTCTGTTTTCCTGGGAAGTCCATTCTTAATGAGACTCAGAGACTGACAATGTGACTATGAAACAAATCATCACTTACTTGGCCTTATATACAAAACTTTTATAGGGGAGGTATAAAAGCAGATTAGAATAGGGATCAGCAAAGGTTTTCTGTAAAGGGTCAAATAGCAAACAAACATTTTAAGCTTTGTAGATCACATATACTCTGCTGAATATTTTGTTGTTGTTCTTGTTTTACAACCCTTTAAAATTTCCAAAAACTACTTTTAGCTCTCAAGTGGAAGAAAACAGTTGTGGTGCACACGTCTGTAATCTCAGCAACTCAGAAGGCTAAGGCAGGAGGACTGCAAGTTCAAGGCCAGCCTGAGCAATTTAAGTAAGACCCTGTCTCAAAATCAATAATAAACCAGGCACAGTAGTGCATGCTTATAATCCTAGTAGCTCGTGAGGCTGAGACAGGAAGATCGCGAGTTCAAAGCCAGACTCAGCAAAAGTGAGGCGCTAAGCTACTGAGACCCTGTCTCTAAATAAAATACAAAATAGGGCTGGGGATGTGGCTCAGTGGTTGAGTGACCCTGAGTTCAATCCCTGGTACCTAAAAAATAAATAAATAAATAGGTTGAAACTGTGATTCAGTGGGAACAAAAACCAGCCACAGGGGCTAGGGTTGTGACTCAGTGGTAGAGTGCTTGCCTAGCATGTTTGAGGCACTGAATAGATTCTCAGCTCTACATATAAATAAAAGAATAAAATAAAGATTCATTAACATATATATAAACCAGTCATGGGCTGTATCTGGTCAAGGTCATAGTTTGAAGGATTAGACAATGATCTCTAATGTTAGCTTAGGGTTCTAAATTGTTCTCTGTGGAGAAAATGCATTGGACAAAGAAAGATACTCCAAAAGAGAAAGACAAAATGCAAGAAAGGTCCTCACAATAAGTGTTTGGTTGAAAAGGCACTGCAAGAGAAAAAGGAGCTAATGTGAGCCTACTTGGTCTCACTCGCCGAAAGCTGTGTTAATCCTTACCAGAGAAAGACAGTCTCAACTTTCTCTTCCTACCTGAACACAAGGATCTTGTCCCCTAGCTTAACACTTTCCTCAATCAGGTGGAATAGTAGTACCATCTTGGGAGAGTTTTCCAAGACTCCAGTCTGGTAATTAGTCAGAAGGTCCTTGGCCTGCAAGAAAAAAATGAGACAGCTGGGAGCAGGTCCAAAGCCAGATGATCAGGAATAAAATTCTCTCCAAGACCATGGCCCACTGGCCACCTTTAGAGTTCCCTGCACAGACCTTGGCAGTATACTACATTGTGCACCTGACTCTCTCACAAAGTGGGCCATGCACCATCTAGTTTCAGCATTACTTTATGGTTATTAATTGACTCACCCATTATTAATTGACTCACCCATTCATATGTGACAATGTTGTTGCCTCGCTCCTGGAATGGGTTGAAGCCAACCCCCTGTAGGAACTTGCTATTGGTTGCCTCTCCCATTGAGGAAGCCAAGGTTGTATCCTCTCCCTTGCCTTTTGTTCCCTGTGGTGGGCAGCGGGCACTGGTCCCTGCTGAGCCAAGTTCTTCTACGTCTAGGTCCTGCTCATTGGCCAGGTTCTCCTTCTGAAGAGCTTCATACAGCACATCAGGGTGATTCCAGATCTGAGGTAAAAGGAAAGAAAGGGGCATAAGACAGAAAACATTCCAAGGGTGTCCCAGAGAGTGTGGAAATTTACACCTCACACAGTACACACGGTCACACCAAAAGCTAATGTACCTCTAACACCTTCAAAAAGCCTGCACATTTGCTTTTACTATCAGCTCTGATGACCACAACACATGACTGGGAGAGTTCATACCAAAGCAATTCCAGTATGTCTGGTATCTAATCCAAAAGGCTGCGTCATAAAACTTGCTTTCTTTTTTTTTTTTTTTTTAATATTTATTTTTCAGTTTTTCAGCGGACACAACATCTTTGTTTTGTATGTGGTGCTGAGGATCGAACCCGGGCCGCACGCATGCCAGGCTAGCGTGCTACCACTTGAGCCACATCCCCAGCCCAAAACTTGCTTTCTTATTCAAATAAGAATAAGAATGTTTTTGTTTCACTATGTGGCTACAGTCAGCTACCATATGAAACAAGTCTAATTTCTTCCTATGAACAAGATGTATCTGACTTATATATGACCAATCATATGTCATTTCAGTGATCATTCCTAGCAATAGTTGAGAATTTCTGGAAGAAGAGCAGGAAGGAGGAAGGAAGAAAAACACTGGTCCTGAAGCACTATCATAGACCACTTTTGTTTTTGTTTCCTGGCTCTAGTCTACAACTGTGGCTACAACAGAAATACTTTAAAGAAGCATTTCTGAAGTAACTCACTGAGGTCTGTGTGCCTCATCTGTCCACATACATACATTCTAGATGACTTATTGAAGTAGTGAATAATCAAGAATAATACATAACAGGTCTGCTGAGAGTACAGCCAGGGTACAGAATAAAAGAAATAGTTCCCTCACTAACGGTATGAAAGAGATTAAAATCTGATAAAAAATAGATCAGACATAAAGTTGTTCACATAGCTTGTCTAAGCTGTACATTTCTTAAGAACTGATAATATTAACAGTCCAAAACTTCACCCCACAATATTCCTCCATCACCACCACCCCTTTTCCAAGTGAAAAGGACAGTGAAAAAAAAGCAATTTCTCAAGTTTAACAAGTTGTGCAACTGAGCTGCAAGAGGTACCAGTTATACTACAGTTGTGCACACGCCTAAGAACTGTGTGGTGCACAATCAGCATATGTTTTCTTTGAGCCCTTACAGAGCACTCCAGTGCAGGGAACTGAGATGGCCTCTCCGGCTTTATTCTTCCTTTATCAAGGACTCCCAGCAGAAGTAACTCACTGAGGACTGTGTGCATGCTTAGTCCCCAACACAATCTTCCATGAGGCCCCAACGCACCTTGCAGCACACGCAGAAAGCCTTGAGAGGGTTCAGCCCCAGCCAGCCACTGCTACCACAGTCTCGGAAGCGGTCCATGAACTGTGTATACAAATCTCGCTGGATCTTAGATAGCCGCACCAGGATCACATTCTCTTCCTTGGCAGGGAGATGAATCTTCAGCACAGTGTGGCCTCTCCTAGAGAGGCAGAGGTTAGAAGTGGCCAGGAAGTGTGGCCAGATGGGAACAATGCAGGAAGAAAACATGGCCTTACACTCCTGACACACCTTCCTTTCAAGGATCTCAATATACAACCTTTCAATAATGCAGAGTGGTTTGGCACCATGAAGTAAAAACTTGTCTTAAGAATAACAACCAAACCAGGAGGCAGAGTGGCCTGTCTTAGGCTATTACTGATTGAGTGACCAAGCCCAATTCCCCCAGCTGCCTCCTTTCTCTATACATACCATCTTAACAAGGTTTTAAAGGGACTGCTTTAAACTAATCTGAGCTAGCTACATCAAATAAGATGCTGAGACTGGTAAGGCCATAGCCCTAGAACCACCACTTCTATTCTTTCACCCAACTCTGCAGAATGCTAGCTCTCTTGCTTTTCTCAGCAAGTAAAGCAGGTATCTCTAGAAATTTCTTTTTAATTCTTTTTTTTAAGGTATTAATTTTATTCATTTATTTATTTATATGCAGTGTTGAGAATCAAACCCAGTGCCTCACACATCTAGGCAAATGCTCCACCACTAACCCCAACCCCAGCCACATCTCTAGTAATTTTAAAGATAACTTTTGAGTGAAGCACTTCTAGGTCAAATTTTCATAAGACCGAAATGGTCTACTAGCTATTTACACATATCTAGCTATTATCTACTAGGTATTTACACACAGGAAAGTTTATTACTACGAAGAGCCCTCACTCATAATAGCCTTGGAAAGCTCACTGCCCCTCTGAGGATGCAGAAAACAGGGCCCTGAGCCTGGCTTACCTCTGCACAAAGCCCTCCAGGAGGCTGTGCAGGACATGGCTCCGGTACCGCATGAGGCGGACGTCCTGAGGCGTGCTATCGATACACTGCCCATTCAGAATAGGGCGTTCAAACATGTTGCTGAACTCCTGTCGAGTGCCAAGGAAATCAGGGCGTACAAAGTCCACCATGCACCAGTACTCGATGAGGTTGTTCTGCAGGGGGTACCCAGTCAGCACCACCCTGCGGCGAGAGCGTATGTTCTTCAGAGCCTGTGAGGTGCTGGCCTGGCAGTTTTTGATGCGGTGTCCCTCATCACAGATCACCACATCAGGACCAGGGCGGCATAAAGCCTTCTCAAACTCTAGGGAGGGAAGAGGATCCGGAGTCAGAGGGTGAGAGGGCCTGCTCTTAGTCAGTAATATGAGAAGTAGGGGAGCACCCTGGAGGAGACAGAAGAAATGAAGGAAGCAGGAAAGCAAGAGTCAGCTCCCGTTGGTGAAAGGGAGCCAGCCATCCAAGCTCCTGCATGTTTGGTGTGATGCTAACCTGGCCATTGACTCTTGCAACAGGCATCCCCTCTCCCCTATCCCTTTCCTTATTTCTTTATTCATTTTTAGGCTAACAGTAAAACTGACTTGCAACCCTAGGACTTATACTAACCAACTGGACAGTAGAGAGCAGTAACCACAGAGTGCCAGCTCAGGATTAAAAATACAGCTGGTAGGAATAATCCAAATCCTTCACTAGGATTTCACCATTATCAGCATCTTGGCTTCTTCTGAGGACTGGCTGCTAGGAGCTAACTAAAAGACAAGGTCTTCCCATAATTATTCACCAATCATTGCTAAATGGCAAATTCATTCCAACTCTGCCCCTGAAGAAAACCTAGACCAAACATAATCTCACAGATGAAGAGAACTATAAAATGATAGCCTCTGAATGTTTCAAAAACTTTCTTCCCACTGGGTACAGTGGCATACACCTGTAATCTCAGCAACCCAGGAGGCTGAGGCAGGAAAATCACAAGTTCAAGACCCCATCTCAAAATAAAAAATAAAAAGGGCTGGGGATGTAATTCAGTGATAAAGCACCCTTGTGTTCAATTCCCAACACAAAAAGAAAACAACTTTCTTCCCCAAATGGGCAAAAGCTCCTTAGAGGAAGAAATAGAACTATGAGTGGAATGGTTTTCCCTAAAAGCAACTAGGGTAAATTCTTTTTCATAAATTTGCACATAACAGTACTACTCTTATATCTTTCTATGAGTGATTCAAATGCTTTATAAACTGGATGCAGTGGTACACACCTGAAATCCTAGCTACTTGGAAGGCTGAGGCCACCCTCAGCAATGTAACAAGACCTTTTCTCAAAATAAAAAAGGGTGGGGAGGTAGAACATTAATGCATAAGGCCCTGGTTTCAAAACCCAGTATGAAAATTTTTTTTAAAAATTAAAAATTTTCTTAATGTTCTCTCAGAACATCTCTAGGAAGTGGTAAAGGGAGTAAGTACTCTTCCAACTATTCTGTGAGAGAAACAGGGATAGATGGACAAATGAGTTTCTCTAAGATGGGTGTGGCCTGCATGAAAAGCAGCACATTCTGAGAGCCACTGGAGATTATCTAACCCATCGTGGAGACTAGGATTTCTGGTTCATGATAATTCACATCAATAATAAACTTCATACCTGTCTAGCAGACATTATTTCTTTTTTCCTGAAATACCCCCAAAAATATTTCTGGGACAGGTTGCCCACCTCTCCGAAACTCCTGCTGTCGATCTTCCTCATCCAGATCAATGATGACCGGGTGAGAACGTTTCTTGGTTTTCTTCGGTCTACCTGTGGCAAAGGATTTCTTCAGAGTGAGGAGTCTGTACATTTCGTACCCCATCAGCAGCACCCCACCCTCTGACACCCAATCAGCCATCACTTTAGCACGAGATGCCATCGTCCTGCAAGAGTAAACAGAGAAACTTGTGTGAGGTATGAATTATATCTCAATAAAGTTGGGGGTGTGTTTGTGTTTGTTTTTTAAAAGGTAAACAGAGATAAAGTATTATTGCTTTTGGGAATAAGCAGGAAAAGTATTATTCCTCAGGAAGAATCTCTTATACTCAAAGCTTTGTTGTATATTTAGAACTCCTTACTGACAAAGATTTCATGTAGTATCAAGTATAGGACTGGTCAGTTGCCTGAGACTTTCCTTTCTCATTCCAGAGACCCTACTTGTAATTGAGGATGAACTGGGACATTGATGATGGTTAAACAGAAGAAATACAGTAATTCAATGACAAAAGGCATGAGAAAATACCCCCCTTCAAAACACATTCATGACTAAAATCCAACATTTAAGGGAGCATTTCAAGTTATTCCCATAATAAACACAAGGTCAGAGAAAGAAGGGCAACACTCTGCATTCCACCTGCCCAGGTTCCAGTGAATGAAGAGCCAAGAAAAACAGTAAAGGAGCATGGATAGTAGAGACCAGATGACCTTCATCATAGCCACTCCACTCCTAAACACCTGAGCCCTCACTGTGTTTCACATGTTGACTACCAGTCCTAAAATCCAAAAACAGAGAGCAGAGGATTAACCACTTGTTGAGTCACTCAGAGTCTCCTCATTTTAATGTGTGTGACCAAAAATGACAAAAAGCAGTCTCTGCAGAAAATAAAGTCTACCTTCTCAATTAGCCATGTCAATGAGAGAAAAGGGCAACATGGACAGTTGGCTTGAAGCAAGAAGTTCTTCAGAGTTTTGGAAACTGAGTTTACTTTACAGAATAGAAATATAATTTTATTTAAATCTAAAGCAAAACAAGATTTACACCTTTCAAAGTTGTGGAAATTGAACCATTAAAGGTTAATAACTATTGATCCATGGCTTAAGAGAATGATGATCAGGTATCTACAAAAAAGAGAAATATAAAAAGTAAGAAGTTAAAAGATGAAAAATTCCATTCTGTCATGCTGAATTTTTTTTCCATATACATTGGAAAATGTGACCATGCCCACAGGTTTTTCATGACATAAAAGCATCCTAAAGTAGAACACAAGAAATTTCTCAGGCAACGTAACTCTGCTTTTACTAAAAAGCTGGGTAGAGGGTAAAAAAAGTAAGTAGTAAGAATAGAGAAGGACACATCAAGAAAACAAAAGCAATCTGGGAAGACAGAGTACATAGTCAAATAGACTGCCCTAACATATAGATCCAAGAAAGAAGTCAAAATGAAGGGGCAGAGAAGAGAAGGCAGGTCACCTACTTGTGCTCATCATTCAAGATGTGAACTTTAAAGAACCGAGGCTGGACTTCTTCAGGCTTGTTGTCAGCTGGAAGGGATTCAGGAGCAGGAAGCCACATGTTGAACTCTGCCAACCAGTTCTGAAGAGTATTAACCTATCAGAAAGCCAAGTCAAAAAAGAGTCCTAAGAAACAAGTTCAGCCAGGCACAGTGGTGCATGCCTGTAATCCCAGTGGCTTGGGAGGCTGAGGCAGGAGGATTGTGAGCACTTTAGCAAGGCCTGAAGCAACTCAGCGATTCCCTGTCTCTAAATAAAATATAAAAAGGGCTGGAAAGTGGCTCAGTGGTTAAGTGCCCCCTGGTACAAAATTTAAAAAAAAAAAAAAGAAAGAAAGAAAAAAGAAAAGAAAATGTGGTTAAGCACCCCTGGGTTTAATCCCCAGTGCAAAAAAAAAAAAAAAAGAAGAAGAAGAGAAGGGGGTGGGGGTGGGAAGGCAAGCTCAGAGCTGATTTCATCAAGCTTTTCAGTGTCTGGTGAAGACTTTAACTAGAGCTCTTCAGAGCGATGACTATATGGTGTCTTCCCCCAAACCCTTACCGGAACAATGGCAAGGACTGTTTTGGCTGGCGTATGGCGGAAGAGGACATCAATGAAGGAGATCACTTGCAGAGTTTTCCCTAGACCCATGCTGTGGGCCAGGATACAGCCAAAGCCACTACTGGTCTTAAACCTCTCCAGTGACTCCACGAGGTTATCATACAGGAACCGGATCCCGCCAATCTGGCCAGAAACAGAAATAAATGTCAGAGGGACTAGAAAAGACCAGGGCTCTATTTGTACTCACTTTGGAATTAGTCAGAATTAAGTAAATGAGCAGATATTACAACACACAGCTGGTGTGGACTCCACAGAAGTTTCCCTATAACCTGGAGAAAACAGAAAATCATTCATCCGGTACGACGTCCCACCTGATATAAGGATCTGCTGTACCAAATTCCTGATGGGGGCTTTCATTCAGCCTGGCTGTCCTCAGCCTTGAGGAGGGCACCTCTTCCAGACAGCTCATTCCTTAAGGGGCAATTCTTGCTGCTGCAGTTCTTAAGCTGAGTGTTGTTCTACCTTCATGGAACTTTCACCCACTGGTCCTAGATCCAGGCTTTGGATCAATACAAACTATTCTTTTCCCAACTATTAGAAAGTCCCTCTGACATCTGACAGTCATATCTGTTGTGAATTCATGCCTTCCTAATCAAAGCCCTGCTCTTTTAGAGAGCCTCTCGAGCTCCTCATTTTTGATCCCACAGAGGAGTACAAGAGCTGTTAGGCCAAGAGCTCCAGCAATTTCTATGTGTCAAGGAAAATCTTGTCTCTTCTCTTTCCCCTACGCTTCATATTCACAGGAATCTTGAAGTGCCAACTGCTAGGAGAAAGGATCAGGCTATTCCAACAGCTATTCTACAGGATCAAACTTGTACTTTACAGAATGTGATACTAGTAACCACAAACAGGCAATGAAGTTCCCAGCAAGGAAATAGGAAAAGAAAAGGAGGGTAAGATTTGTTGTACCTGATGAGGTTTCACAGCCCGTGCCAACTGTGGGGCGAGGAAGACATTTTCCTCCTCTGGAGGGTGGTTCAGGTTGACAAGAACCCGCCCAAGAGCATCATGCTGGTTTAAGGCATCATTCACATGGGTGCCACCCTTCTCCTCTTCCTCGTCCTCCTCGCTGACAGACTCACTGCTGTCCACAATGTGAAGAGTGTCCTCCTCTCCAGAGCTCAGTTCAATCACCTCTGAGACACCAGTAAAACAAAACGAAAACCCAGAGAACAGAGATAATTTACTGGTGGTAATCAGAAGTGTGTGTATCCTTAGTTAGAATTTATCATTAGTTATAAAAATTTTGATTCCCCCCCCCCTTCCATCTTCAAGCTAAGGAGAAAATTTACATTTACTAAAGTAAGTCAGGGAAATCTGTCAAAGCTATGCTCCAAACCAAAAGAATAAGAAGTGAACTCTTTTTTTCAAAAGTACAGTCAATCTCAGGTGAACACCTGGTCAGGAGGAAGGAAAGGCACCTCCAGCTGGATCTTACCATCTCGACTGCTTTTTTCATCCTCACTGCCACTGCTACTGTCCAAACAAATGACTTCCTGGGCCAAGACCCGAGGAGGCAGTTGAGGACCATCACTTGCTCTTAAGACAATTTCCTCTAGAAAAAGAAAGACGGAAGGGAATGTCAAAACCACATTGCTATCATCAACCTGATCTCTAGAAAAATCCCTTTGGCATGTTAAGATACAAAGTTACAGAAAAAAAAAAAATCACAATAAAACCAATTTGAGTACTTCATTTTTATCTATTTCTACTTTCAAAATCAGATTCTTCTGATGTGTACTCAAAAGAAGCTGAATGACTTTAAAGGATTCCAGGAGGCCACAATCTTACTACAGGTCTTTCATTTACCACTGTGCAAGCCCAGGGCCTCTTTTCTCTGCCATCTCCACTGCTTACCAGGGAGGAACTCTAGAGGAACAGTAGGAATGGGGGCTGCATAATCTTTCCTCTGCTGCTCCAGGCGCTTCCTTCTTTCCAACTCTTCCTGCTGTGCTGCTTTGGTAACAGGCTCCAATTGATCCTCCCGCAGTAGCTTTCTAAACATTAAAAATAGCAATTGGGTTCACTTAATATTTGGGCAAAGTAATGTCAAGATAAAAAGGAAATGACCACTGCTAAGCTCAGAGAATTGATAGAGGAAGAGAAGAAATCATTTCAGCCCCATCAAACCTATGCAATGGGCAGGGTTGGGGGGTGGGGTGCTTCAAGTCCAGATAGTACTAGGCTAACATACTTTTCATGTTATTTAACTTTCTGACAGATGCCCCTGTGGACTTTTCTTTGTACATACAAAAGATCGAGAGTAAAATAGGGTAATATTGCTTATAAAACTGAAAACTGGCATTAAAAATAAAGTTTTTATGTGGAAAAGAATTAGAGGGATTCTACATCCTTAAGTTTAGAGTAAATATCTTTAAATTGTCATTACATTTTAAAAAGAAAAAGTGGGGCAGGAGGTAAAAATGATATTCATCTCCTTTCAATGGCACAAGGTGTTATTTGGCAAAAGGAAGAATTGTTGGGGATTTGGAAAGTGAAGGAAGCTCACATTTATTCATCTTTAAACTCAAGGAAGAAGTCTTGTCTGGGGCCAGAAAGACCTGCGCCATCTGAAATTGAGTTCTAAGAAGATGAGAATTCAATTTTCTCTTCTAGTTTTGAGAAAAAGATAGATAGATAGATAGATAGATAGATAGATAGATGACAGACAGACAGACAAACAAATGAAAAAACAGAAAGTCCAACTCAGAGCACCCTTTCATCCTCAATTGCTACCCAAGACCTCCTCAGCAGCAGTCAAGGCCCTTCCACATCCTCTCTGCATCCTCCTCGGACAGCTTAAGCCAATGGTCCTCAGCTGCACCTTCACTATTAAAGAGGGCACACAGTTGAGCACTTTCTCCTTCAGAGAGAGGTCACTCCTGTCCAAACCAGTCCTTCTGCTACTGCTAACCTTATGATGAAAGGAAATACTTCTACTCCTTACTCTCTCCTCTTACCCAAAGCACAACTCACCGTATGTTTCTTCTCATGTGAGAGGGTTTCTGAGCTCTCTTCTTTTTGGGGTCCTCAGAGGCTAGGATCTTGCCTTGGGGGCGCTTAAGCTGCTCTGAAGGCTCAGACTGAGATGAGGTAGTTGAAGTGCATCGCGGCGGCCGCTGTCCATCTTCCCCCAGGTGGTCGTGTTCAGTGCCACACATTACTTCCAGGGATTGGTCTGAAAAAACAAGGGGAGAAAGGTGGTTGTACTGGGAGTGGGATTTGATTACAGACACTCCTGGGTTCAAATCTCAACTCAGCAACTTAATAGTTGGTAACCTAACACAAGTTAAGATCTCCCTGAATGTTAACGGATGTATCTATTAAATGAAAATAATGATGCCTACCTTACAAGGCTGTTGTGAGTACTAAATAGTGTGTGTGCCTAAAACCAAGCCTGGCTCAGAGTAGGACTACAAAAAATGAAAGCTATCAAATTGATACTATTTATCAGGATTAGGAAGCTTCAAGGCCTCAGAATACTCAGAATGGCATAAAGCTGAGCAGCTGAGTTCCAAACACAGCTCACAATCACTTGTGTGACTCGAAGCAATTCCCTTCATCTCTTGCCTTCTTCCATGTCTTAAAGTGTTCACCCTTTCAATTTGTTGACCATTTAATGAGGGATTACAATATGGCAAGAACTATCCTACATGCTTCAAGGAATATTTTCAAGACTTCTTCCTTCCAAAGATGTTTGTTTTCTATTGATGGAGATAAGTCATATATAGACAGATAAAACATGGCAAGGTGTACTTAATATTACAGAAGGAGCAGATCAATAGACCTAAAGAACTTAGAGGTTTAAAGCATCATTTTTTAGCCAAAGGTAATTAAATAAACCAAGAATAATTATGTTACAGTTACAGGAAATACAAGGCTATTTTATGTAATAAGCACACAGGAATTATATCATATTGAAGATAAAATGTGACTGAGGCCTTGAAAGATTAGAATGTCTAAAGTAAATACTTGATAGGAAAAAAGGAAGAGATTCCTGAATGACATTTGTTGCATCAAATACCAGCAAGGACAGGGGTCAAGGCAGGAGGGTCCATGTACACAGTCCCACGCCTCAGCCTGCTAAAGCAGCATTCTGCTAAATGTGCAGGCCTTGAGAATCACTTAAGCCATAAAGCCTGTTCTTAAATCTGCCAGAACCCCCAACTACACAACCAAAAGGTCTTTCCCAAAGGTAAGAGCAATTTGAAACTAGAACACAAATGCCAAAACCAAGCAATGGCACTTGGTCCTTATGGAGGAAGGACCCAAATATATTGTGTTGGTGACTGTGTTTAACCAAACTACAGACCTTATTTGGATTTCACCAGTTTTCCACTAATGTCTTTATTTCTGTCATAGGATCCCATCTAGTACACTATGTTCCCTGTAGCTGTCACGTCTCCTTAAACTGAGGTAGTTACTTAGCCTATTCTCATGACTTCAATACTTTAGAGTGAAAAAAACACCAGACGCTGGTCACATGTTTTTTTAGACTGTCCCTCTAACTTGAGTTTGACTGTTGTTTTCTCATGATTAGTTTGGGGTTATAACTTCTAGGGGAAGAATATCACAAGAGGTGAAGTGCCCTTCTCATCACATCTTATCAGACATACATAACTTACATTTTGATCACTTGATAAATGTGGTATTTGCTAAGTTTCTCCACTATAAAATAACAATCTTTCCTTTTCTATATTTTATTCATCAGAAGTCTATCATTATGCTCAGTCTACATTCAGGAGAAGAGAATTAATAAGCTCCATTTCCTGGAAGGAAAAATGTTAAGAAGAATTTCAGAATATATGCTAAAACCAAAAAAAAAAAAAAAAAAAAAATACTTGGGGAAAGAAACTTTGAGGCTATACAACTAACCTTTCTTAAGTTTTGCTTGTAATACTGAATTTCGTATTTAATACTGAATTTAATATTAAACCCAGGGTGCTCTTCCACTGAGCCACATCCCCAGTCCCTTCTATTTTTCATTTGAAAGCAGGTGGCGGGGGTGTACTGGGGACTGAATCCAGGTATAGTGGGGTACTGTCCTGGTTTGGGGGTATAGAGAGGAGGCTAATGTCGTCACTGTGAAAGTGAGCAGATGGGTGTGTGTGCATGCCCATTCATTCACATGTAGATGCTTGAGGTGATTCACTCCCCTACAGCAACACTGGCAGCATCTTCATTTGCCCTCATTCTGAGGGACCATCAAAGGTTTCAAGCAGGCTGCCTTTGCTTTTTGAACACCAAACGGGAAACGCCAAGGAAGGAATCAGTTGAGGAATGCTCAGAATGGGACCTAAGCAATGGAACATAAGCAAGAGGTTAAAATGCCATACTCCCTTCACCATTATCAATGGATCTACAATAAGCTTTTTACAAAAGGCCTTATAGAGAAAGCTGAGCACAGGGTGGCAAGAAGCATTAAGAATGTTGTGTAGGGCTGGTGCTGTAACTCAGTGGCAAGAGTGCTTGCCTAGCACGTATGAGGCACTGGGTTCAATTTTCAGCACTCAATAAGGAAGCCTGGTTCCATAGCTTCTATATCCAGCCAGATGTTAAGAGCTGTAGCTACAGCTCTGGAATAGAACACATGATACAGAGTCATGAGTTCAATGCTCAGCCCCTCAAAAAATAAAGAAAGAAAAAGGATGCTTCAAGGTAGAGCTCCAAGTCAGACTAGCTGCCCTCCAAATTCATGATCCTCTTCCATCAGTCCTTTCTGACTTCTGTCTGAAACACTATAGGAGGAAAGCTCAGCATTCTGTTTTCCTTTAAAAGAACTCAATCTTTTAGGCACCCCAACCCTCCAAACATTTTCATATTCCTCCTAACTCACAGCTAAAAATGCTTCCCTTCTAAAAAGGGAAGCCAACAAATGAGTAGCTGGATGGACAGCAGACTCCTAAGGAGGGAACAGCCATCGCTAAATGGCCACTTTAACCAACACTGCAGCTTGGGCCACACACCAACCACACTTGTGGCTGGGTTGGCACACTTCAACTTAGTGTTTTGCTGGTTCTTCTGAAATGGGTCTGATAATGACCTTTGATACTCTCCTGATCTTGCTTGTTTCTATTTCATAAGTAAATCAGTTGAGCAATCATTTGGAGGTACAGTTGGAGGTAAGGTTATATAGTAGGCAGATAGTACAGAAATCAGAATATAGAGAGCAGGTCTTAAAGGTCAGGCCAAGGGATCTGAAAATGATCAATAAAAACTTGTTGCCAACTATTGTATTCCTTGTTCTGGCTTCTGCATGGCAGAGTTGGCTGCTCCGGGGAAGAGAAAGAACAGAACCTGCTGGACTTTCAACATCACAGATTCACTATCAAACATTCATTCCAAGTTATAAGGCCTGGCTTTGTGTACTCCCATCTGACATGGGGTTGAATGTAGCCAAGTATAACAACAATATTAAAATGATCAAAGTATATAATTCTTAAGCACACTTAGTTCAGATATGAATTCCCCCCTTTCCTCTATATAAGAGACATAGGTCAAAACCAACTCCACTCCTTACTGCCCAGCATTCTTTGAACAAATCCTCACCCTCTAGGTTCAACAACTATTCTTGTTAAAGAATTTTAGTTTAAACATGTACTAATATTTAAAGTTTATTGTCAAGTATGTCAGTGTTTTACAAGCACTTCATTGCTGCTTCATGATGCTTATTATGAAGTTTCTGAATTTTAGATAATATTATAAGCTGAATGTTTAATAAACTATTCTTATTTTTTAATTCTATAATTAAATTTTCCCTAAGCCAAAATGTTATGTCGCTATATGCTCTTTTGTACCTTCTGAATATTGAATCATTTAAATTCACAACTTAAGCAAAAGAACTTTCAAAAACTAACCCTCCACAATTTTAGAATATAACCCATCCACTGAGAAAAAAAAGAGACAAAGTCCAGCAACTAAGTAACAAGAAGCTGGGCATGGTGGTGCATGCCTGTAATCCCAGTGAGTTGGGAGGCTAAGGCAGGAGGATTGTAAATTCAGGCCAGCCTCAGCAAATTAGTGAGGCCCAAAGCAACTTAGTGAGACCCTATCTCAAAATAAAAAATAAAAATGGTTAGGGATGTGAACCTTGATTTAATCCCTAGTACCAAAAAATAAATAAGTAAGTTAACAAGACATGTTTTGACAGATAATAAATGTAAATTAGTATCTACTTGGCTTAAAAGTCAATGACTGGGGCTGGGATTGTGGCTCGGTGGTAGAATGCTACCACCTAGCATGTGTGAGGCACCAGGTTCAATTTTCAGCACCATATATAAATAAACAAATAAAATAAAGATCTATCAATATCTAAAAAGAAAAAAAAAGTCGTTAATGACTACTACCACCCTAACTCAGGATCACAGAGTCAGACCCGGGTGCAAATACTTCTGAACTTTCTCCTTCATGAGAGCCAGCCATGAACAGCAATCACCAGAATTATATAAACACCAAAGAACACTTACATAAGCTTCTTGGGAATGAGTTATAAGCCACACCACAAATTTTACTAGTCAAACCAATGGGGGAGAATCTTCGACATTTCATTCAATGAGGGCATAAGGTATAAACACTTTCAGGGCCCTTCCTCTTCTTCCTCTTCTCTATAAAGAAAAATTAGTGGATTCCAAGTTTCATCACATTTCCTGATGTCATGTGATAAAATGCATACATCACTACCTTTGATGTATGTGTGCTAAAAACTGCAACTATTTTTGTTTTGGCAATACTTGGAATTGAATCCAGTGGTACTTTACCACTGAGCTACAACCCCAGTCCAAAACACCTAAATCTGAACACAGCTTAATATTTCAATCCTGGTTTACAAAAATACAGGAGACAATGAACTATAAACAAAACCACAGGAATACAATCAACAAAATTAGACTGTGAATCCTTTCCTTCTAGAAATAAATTGCAAGGAAAAAACAAGGGAAAGTTTACAGATTAAAGAGATATAAAAGACATATTCAACTAAATGTGGACCTTGTGGGGATTTGAATAAATTAACAATGAAAATAATTTTTAAAGATAATTAAGGATTATCTAAATGTTTCATGATATAGGAACTACAGTTTTAAAAATTTTAGGTGTTGTAATGATATTGTGTAGATTTTGTTTTGTTAGGACTTGAGATATATAGATATAAATATATATGTACATATGTATTAGGGAATA